GGAAATCTATGTACACAAGGTTAACCACAGACCTGTTTGTTTTTGCTGCTGATGCCCCTTTTTCAACACCTCAACCACAATTGTAGCACTAATTCTCTGATGACAAATTGATGTTGAGAGCAAAAAGGGAAGAATCAATGGTCTGGGACTTCTTCTATGTGAACTTGGGTGATTATAACTAGTTAGAGCAACTGGTCCATCAGCGCTGAACTGTTAGAGCGAGAGCGGGTCTTGATTGCGGTGAGTGACCTTGGCAGCGATTTTGTCGTAAAGGTGGCCTCGCATCGCCACAATTACATCCGTAGCCGCTAAATTAGAGCGGCGTAGTTCGTCAAATGCGTGGTCGCCTTCCGCCTTCGACCACTAGTACTGTTGGCATAATGCCAAACTATGTTGGACACAAGCGGTATGAAAATAGTGATGGTGAAGACGTTTTCATCATTTCCATTGGTTTTCCAAGAAAATCGTATGCACAGATAGTATTCGATTTTTGGTCCTATTTCACGGTACTAATAGCGGTTAAGTATTTTCAACTCAAACATGTTCAACTAATTTTTCAGCTGCATGCGCTGGTGACTGGGTACATCACACCAAAGACATTCTGTAGATCGACAGTTACTTTACATCTCCATAATTTAATATTGATAAATGCAAGTGGTCTTTCTTAAAGGCAGCGATTACGATAAAGTGGGAGCGCATCGGGAAGCATACCACACGAATCAGTTACTTGGCTGCCAGGGAAGCGAGGTGTAGCGCTTTCACGACGAAGTTCGCTGGCAGCACTTCGAAAGCACTCCGCCCCCAAAAGCGATCCGCCCACTAGTTTAGTTGGTGATTTGGACGAGCTGCGTTGCCAGCAGCGGCACAACTGGAGCAACTCGATGGAGCATGGATTGGCATGCTGCCACCAAACGCGTTGCGTGAACTCGTTCATACGTCCGCTTTCTGAGCTGTTACCTGTTCATGAGTGAAAACCAACGGCCAAAAAAGGGGTCCCGTTTTGCGTTTTTTGACGCGTATTTGCCTTACCGCTGAGCACACCCATCTTCCGGTAAGTTTTCTTTTGAATCTATCGCAATCACTGTCTTTAAGTGGCAGTCTTATAAATACCGCGAATAAGCTATCAAGGTTGAAAAATAAAATGTGCTATGCATTCCGCCAGCAGACAGAAAAAATAAAGGGCATCAAAAATAGGGACACCATTATATTTTGCAGTTAAGGGCCAATCTAGGTCTGACAGAAGGCCTAGGTGAGGGAAGATATCCCAGGTGATCTCTTGCAACCTGAGCTGCGTGGTCCTTCTCAACGGTAACGATTACGACAAAGAGGGACCGCATTGAGGAAATACAGGGGCAAAAAAAAGACATTTTGCCTAGGTCGCACTTCGGCCTTTTTTCTTCGCAGAGATTGCCGTCGTTGACGGAAGTTCCTCAGCAAAATATTCCCTAAATGTCCCTCTATAAGTACACGCAGGCCCTCCTTCACTACCCTCACCGTCTTCAGAATATGACGTCATCTGTCACCGTCGTCGAGCTCAGGGAGGCCTACAGTAACTGCTTCAGCCTGAAGCTCTTACATAATTTCTTGGATCGATTCAACGTGGGATAGTTTCCTAGGGACATTAGCTCTAACTATGCAAACCCCTCGGAACCGCCCTTCGGAACCCGTCGTAACGGTACACGATCAGTCGAGAACCCCATTGAGCTCGACCAGAGCACCATGTTTCCGGGGCAAACTTTTCTGATGCCGTCCACGTAGATGGCCACTATGAAGATTTTCTTATGAAATGAAATGCGCTCTTCAATTCTAAGTTGGGAGCACACGCTTTGAGCTGAGCAAAGTGTGATTAAATCCATTTGAGTCTGGAGACAAAATGTCTTTTTTTATTGCCCCCAACATTCAACGGAAACAACGAACAACCCTCTACTGATTGAATAGATTGGAACGAGTCGATCAGATCAGCGGACCGAATGGAGGATTTCCCTGCTCACTCTTTCAAGCCTCGTTTATACAGTAGCTGGCGACGGTGGCAGCTTATGATTAGAAGGTTGAAATGCGACAGGAAACTGCTAGCACTCGAAGGCGGAGTTTGAGACGAGAAGACAGCTCATTGGAAATCAAGGTGAAGAAGTTTAGCGATGTTTGAGTAAATCTTTCCTGCAGACTTGACCAAACCAGAATGGTAACTGAAACGTGTGACACCAAACCCACGGCATATGGGACCTGCATTCAAGATTTCTAATTTAGATTCGCATGCGGCGCTCATCTGCTACCGTAATTCGTAACCACCCTCCAGTTGGGAAGAATGCCTCACAATAACGCGGGAACTGAGGCCCTACATAAGGTGGCCTTCCACCAGTGACTCTGAATCAAGAACAGTCCGATCGTCCTCACTGCTGGTCTCTGGGTGGTCTCGAGACCGGACTGTGTTACGGTAGGTGGCCCACCTTTGGATTACGTGATGAGTTCTTTGGTCTCGAACTTCAGTAGGGTTGCTGAGGCGTTTGGTCGGGTAGTCATAAATTGTTTCGACCCTTTCAGGCTCTGAAGAAGGCGATCCCGCCGAAACGTCAGCCCAATAAAGTTATTTGCCAACCTCGTGAAGAGCTTTGAAGAAGATATCAACTAGCTGAAGTCGTGTTATCTTATCGTGACCGTGCAGCCAGTCCGCCAGAAAGATAGGAGGCAGATTGTGGAAAATAGTGGATACATTGTTCGCATTACCTGTCTTAGTTTCTTACAACGAATGCCTTCGAGCAAGAAAAGTGGTTAAAATTAAGTATTCGTTTGCTTGAAGCGATTTCTGGCTCGCTCAGCTTACGCGGATTGCAGCGAGCACTGGTAGCGTTTGTTTTTGTGGGAACATGTTTAGCCAGCCAAAGTTGATGCTGTGCCATAGAAGCAATTTTTGCCACAAAGACGCTGTACTTGCAACGTGGTCATGAGCTATCTTCTTGTTCTTGTTCTTCTTAGCAGTGGAGAGAAGCTCTCATGGAGTATTTCATGTCGCCCAGCCTTCTGCTGCATATGTCAGGTAAAACTACTGTATTTAAGAGAGTTGATCTTGCATTGCCAAGTCTTAATCCACACGGCTGCTTTCGAATCAAAATCTGGTCCATGCTACTCGAATTCTTCTTGATATCCCACCTCTCATCAAATCATTCTTGAGGGACACAATTGAATGCACGAACCCCATTCCAATCTTCGAAAGACGAATGAACCTGCTCATGTCGGTTGAAATAATCGTAACCGGCCAATGTGTCCATGATCGGATATTTTTTACCTCTGACCTTTTACTCGATTTGTCATCAAACATTCTTCGATGTTACTACTGCAATCAGATTTTTTGAAATACTTTGAACAGCGGTTGCATTGATTTGAAACCTCGTGGAACAGGTGTAGCCAGAAATTCTTTTTAGTTCTACTCGGCGGACTCGCGAAAAATTGCACTGCTGAAAAGTGAACTAAAAGGCTCAATTCAGAAGCTAATCAGAAGCCATCCTATCAAAATGCGCATTGCACACTTAACGGAATCTCCGGCGAAAAATTGCGTCTTCATTCTCCTTTAAAAAAAAACGAATACATAGAGCCCTTGCTTCAGCAAGAAACAAAAAGAAAAGAAATAACGTTGGTTTGTAATAACATCTATAATCATGAACAACAGTATGAATGCATGGAACTTTGTAAATTCTCCGCCATTAAAACATCACAAAAGTTCGCCATGGGGGACTCTTCAGTTGTTTCTTGGTGTAACGTCAACCAAAATTTACTTGGCGTCGAGAAGAACTTAAACGCCAATGTGAACATTCGCGTTCGTTCGGCGGTCGCGTCGCGGCTACGCTGCGGAGAGCGTTGTTCTTGCTTGACTCTTGGGCGAAACACGTTGAGTCATTCACCGTTTGGCGGGTAGTGCGCAACACGTGTCGTCCTTTGCATTATATTACGGTATTGGCTCCCATTCAGCGATTGGACCAGCTTTAGAGCCGCAACCTTCAGAAAATGACCAATTTACTGTGAGACGTGGAAGGCTGAGCCTTATGGTTAGAGGAGAAGGCAATGACTTAAGGGTGCGTGAGAAGTTCTCTTCCCACGGAGTTCCTCCCTCTTTCAGTGCTTAGTTTCGCAACTCCTTCGGCTTATTACGCTCCTCTCGCCCAATATTGTAAAGAAGAAAAGCTGCACACAAGAAAATAAAGATGTGGTGTAGGAATGAAGACGCTGAAGCTCGCAGCTTCAAGGAACTCTTCCGCTAAAATGGCATTAGTGCAGGTGCACCGACTCCTTACTAGATGAGACTCGACAGGAGTTTTTCTCATGATATTTTGGCACCATTGGAAGTGTACTTCACTTTCTTGGTATTCTATTCTACGTGTTTAATTCGAGCATACCATGATTGGGAAAGCTAAGTGCGTGGACATTATTGCAAGTTTGAGGCGAGAAACCACATGTGTCGCTTGAATCACTTCACTAGAAAATGACGAAATAGATCAGGGATTTTTTTTATAAAAGATCTCTAATGTTTCATAGTAGCAAGATTGTTTTTCAGCTGTTTGGCTCTTCATTTAAAATTTGTTCTCAAAGGTCGAAATTAGGGTTCCAGTCAAAGCAGTAGTCTTAGAATGTCAGATAGTCTTCTATGCCATCGAGTTTTAAAGCATTGTCTACGAGGAAGAATGGGAAACATGGACAGTAACAGAGTTTGTGGAATTGCCGGCATTTGTTCACTGTAGAATAAGGGTCTCCTCCCATGTGTGTTTTGAGTGAGAAAAAACTAGTAGAAATTTTCAATATTGTGCATACATTCTTGCTTTATTGTTTTACTTCGTAATTTACTAATTTGTATGGTGATCGCCAATGTATTGGGTTGTTCGGAAAATTTTCGAGCCAAACATTATACAAACACCAAAGGGATTTTTTTGAAAAAGTCATGCTAGCGTAAATCCTGAATCTCGAAAGAAAGCGTTTTTATCTATATTTGTGTACTTTGTTGAGTATTTCAGGTGACTTTACTGCACGGACTGGGGGATTCAAGTGATGGTTGGGCTGATGTGTTCGCCCACGAAATCCGCAATGACGATACGAAGTATATTTTGCTCACTGGTAATATGACATCCCTGGAGTGTTTTATAATTACTACTGAGCAACTCCAATCTGTGCTGATATTGCAGTGCATCACGAACAGTGACATTGAATATGGGAATGAGAACGCCAGCTTGGTTCGATTTATTTGGATTAGACGCTAGCGCCTGCGAGGATTCAGATGGAATAGCCCAGGCTACACGAATTGTTCATGGGATGATCGATGCAGAGGTAGTTTTTCGAATATCTCTCACCATTCACGCTCAATCGTAGCGGATTTGATTTCAACATTGAAAAACTTCACATATTTCTACACCACTTTTTTGCTGATGTTTTTACTTTTTATTCAGCTTTTTGCTCTCTGATCTAATAATTGTAAAGGCCGTTTGACCCGCTCTTCTATCTTTTCCTATTTCAGAATAGTGACGTGACCAGCTAGTTGTTTTTTATAGATGGCGACTGGCATTCCATCGGAGAAAATCATGCTAGGAGGTTTTTCAATGGGAGGAGCAGTGGCTCTCTACGCTGGTCTCACCTATCCACACAAACTCGCTGGAATTGTTGGCCTGAGTTCCTTCCTCGTCCAAAGGGACAAACTACCATGGGTATGTTCTGCGCTTTGAAGCCACTTCTGAAAGATTCCATACAGTTTTGTAGTTTCGAATTTTCTGGTGTAGGTTTGAGTGAAGGAAGTAGCTCTTGTGTACTTACTTCACGAGCTCGCTTTGCTTGCAATGTAACAATTAATGAGCTTCCAATCTGCCGAGGTTTGTGAAGTGCCTATGCGACAAAAATGGTAGAGGGTCGGGCCATACTTACCACTTCGGGTCTGAAGTTCGTATGTGGAGTAGATATGAATTGTTCGCACAAACGTACGATGGATACTTACCTAATCCACACTCGAACTGCAACCCGAACTGCAATCGTATATGTGACCACGGACCTTAAGGCTAACATACAGCGACGCATGCAAAGCGACAGGAAAACAATCCACCAAACGCTTGCTAACAAGGTTGCAAAATCAGCGGCCATATGACACATTATGTGTTTGTGCTGGACGCATCTCCCCACCCCAATTAGCGTACTTTTAAAAGTAGGGTCCGGGATTAGACTTATCTTTCCTTTCCCTTATTCGATCGTACTAGACAGGCAGAAAAGCGTTGGTGTCGCGCACCTTCTGCGGCTTGGAAGGGCGCTTCAAAATTCGTCATAAATTGGCTCGACCCGTAATCTACACCCTCGTCGGCAAGCCTCGCCTTCCGCTGTTCGACTGCAGTGGCGTTGAGAAAGCGGTGCGCATTGGCAGTTTGACGGCAATTGTTGCATTGCGGCTTAATCCCACTATCACTGGAGCATTTGGCTAGGTGCGCGAATTCGTCTAACTTTCCCTTTGTCTGTCCCAAATTGGAATACGCCTGAAATATCCATCCCAAAATGGAATACGCCTGAAATTGAGCAGATCTGTGTTGAAAGGTGTCGATTACGAGGTTGTATTCTATTTTCGCTACGTTAGCGTAACTTTGTATAAATAATTTTTTATAGTACACTTTATCTTTTTTTTTCAAGCACTCGCTTTCGTATTGTGTTAACCTGGGGTGTGGTTCAGTAGGACAGAAAGCGTCTTGTTAGTGAAACATTGTTCGTTGCGGGAATCTCGGGTCCACTGATAATTCGCTGTGGGGAACCTCGGGTCCACTGATGATCAGCGGTGGACCTGAGGTTCCCAGAGCGGAGAAATGTTTCGCGCTGCGAAATGCGAAGAAGTTGCTTTCTCTCCTGATGAACCACACCCTTCCCGAGCGCGAAGCGTTTTCAGCTGCAGGAACCCCCTAGTCCACTGATGATAGGAAGGGACCTTGGGATCTCGCAGCGATAAATGCTTCGCGCGCGACCATCTGCAACTTAGAGTGGTAAAATTTCAAGTGGGCGAAACTGGGGAGTTCACGTACAGCTTTCCAAACAGACTTATCTTCAGACTTGAATTTCATTACTACCTTTCTACCTTTCGAGGCGTAAGGGGTGATAGAGTTCGACACATATTGTCGATGTTTGAGCCTGGAACAATTTCAAAATTGCTAGAGCGGGAATAGGTTTCAATGCAGGGAACTTCCCAACGGCACGCATTGGTGACCACAAGGAAATGGAAACAAAAACTTTTCCTATAATCCGTTTGCGTCATGCGCGGCCTCTTGGAGGTGAAATCGGTTTCTCGCGACTGACCGTTCCGTAATTGCACGCAAATGTAGCGATGGCTTTGAAAGAAATCAATGAAGCGTTTGTGATGCCATCTGATACTGCGTGAATTGCCGACCGCAATTTGAATACGTCCTCCACGTTGAATAGTAAGTTTGTTTATCAGCTCTGAATATTATACTCGTTTTTAGTAAGAAACTCGTAAAAAGATTTTATGGTTCACATCTGGTGAGAGGACATGTGGTAGGTGGAACAGTTGCTGCCGCCTACATAAGTACCAATTTTTGCAAGGGAGGTGCGGGAACTATTCTTTCTCTTCTACACCCACTCGGAGCTTTCCTCCCCTGCGAACGATTAAATCACTCCAGGTGATATGAACTATCGCCCCGTATGCCCTCCCCTAACTATAGATAAGATCTGAAGTTCTCGTCACAATGATAGCCAGAAAGAAATTCTCTAATTTCAGAGCCTGCTTGGGATGTTGCCGAAAGCTGGCTCTTAACAGCGGAACGGCTGTATTCCAGAAGTTTTCTCTATAGTGCCATACGGTTGGTAGCTTTACTGCAACGTATCCTACTTGGAATAATTCATCATATTTTGCTGAAATTCTTATTTCAGGTCTTCGTATGTGAAAAATTTTATTACCTCTTGGAAATCACAATCCCCTCCTCTGTCGCCCTTGTTGAAAGTAGGCCGTCTTGGAGGTCTATGTTTAGCACGTGCTATGTCCCTCTTTTGAGGTTGGCTCATTATTGAAACAATGACTTTGGAATTCAAAACTCACAGGACCTGGTTGCAGGTGTGCTGAATGCAAAAGCAAACCTCACCTCAGCAAACGAGCTGATCATTTGGATAAGGAATTCCTCAGTACTAAGAGCCCACACTTTCCTTTTCTGATGTTTTAGCAGCTGTCATAGTGAGTCATTATACCGTCCTTTTTTGTTTTTGATTTCAGAAATATCGTGCATGACATGTCCTTTTCTACCCAACTTCTGAAACTCCATCCTCGCATTGTTGCTCATCCATAAAAATCTTCAATATATTGTTAGAGCCTTAGGAAACAAGCATAGGGTTTGTTTCGGTAATGGAATTATACAAATGACATTTTGACTTGTTTTGTTTGTTAACTGCTGTTTTTAACGCCGCAGTTCGCGTTGCGAATGTTTCACAAGAATGCTGGGTTGTGAACAAAACTTTCGCCCCAGGCGGGACTAGAACCCGCACCTCTCGCTTTCCGGGCAAGTGCGCTACCAGTTACGCTACCGGGGCACCATTTCATTCCAACTCAGCTTTTCATGGTATACGTACCATAGCTTTCAGCACTCACACGTCTAACGTGTTGAGCCGGTTAGCCGATATCGGCAATGACCGCGAGGCTGAAAGCTTTAGCAATGGATTTTGACTTGTTGGAAGTAACGATTCTATGTAAGAAAGACGTCGAAGACCTGTTCACTGTGCCATCTCACATCATTGGAGAAGTTCTTTCTCGGTTTGAGACGAACCGGATCGCTATTGATGTAGCCTGCAGCTACTCACATTTCATAGTCCATAGTGCTAACACAAGGTTGTTCAGGCCGACCTCGAATTGAACGCTTATCATGCGGCCTCGTTTTACCGCGAGTTTTGAGATGGTCCCACGAGTGAATCTCTAGGGTCGAGGGAAAAGGAAAAGCTCACTTCATGTATGTAACATGAGTACTGGTACACAGTGCCATTCCAAAACCGATCTCAATTTGTAACCTTTTCTACTTTTCAAGAGTGATGCTGAAGACACTGGTATTGAGCCAGAGGAGAATTCCGAACTTGCAGTGGGTGTGGAACCACCATCCATGACGCGGAAAATTTGATCGTGTCTCAAACCTCTTCCGACTTTAATAAATCTAGGACCTCTGATGGAATCGGATCACAGCTGTCCAGCTTCTCAAACCAACTTTCCCAGCTCACGAATCCATCCGATTCCACAGTGGATTCACATTTTAGAGTTGGACGAAACTGACCCCAAACTACTCGAGCAGCATTTCCTGATTCAAGGAAGTCAGCTGCTGAAACTATTCCGTTTCTGCCCATCTTGTGGTGCCAAGATCTCAGAGTCTATACGATGTGTTAGATTACGAGCAGTAGGAACGGCCCCTATTGTGGACTACATATGCACAATATGCACCCCCTTCGAGAAACGCTTTGAGGGACAAGAGAGAGCGGTTGCTCATACGAAGGAAAAATCCTTCAAAGGGAATGTGCAGGTCGCCGTGGCCGCAATAACTACAGGGACACGATTCGTGGTAAGTAGGCAAATTTTACTATACTATTTGTTATCCATAAAATTCAAAGTTTACAGGAGTTAAAACGCTGGGCCGAAGAAGCTAATTTAGCTTTTTTTGGCAAGACTCTTTTGACAACGTTTTTTCGCTGACGGCTCCATCTATCGAGCGGGTGTACTTGGTGCACCAACAGCGCATCCTGTCAATCATTAGAGAGGAGTACAGGGTACATCCATGGCGTTTTACAGTAGAATGATCAATGTGATCACTAGAATTTGAATTATAGAGAATCGGTTCTGGATTGAACATTGCCGCGGACGGCTCGTATGATAG